ATCAACCCAGAGCCTGGAGTTAAGACCAACACCAACTAAAACCCAAGTCCATGTCCAAGTCCATGACAGAATTATTAAACCTGTAAAACCTGTCATTTTGTACAGCGCTGTATTCTTTATACCAGTGAAAAACATTTTTGTTTAGACCATAGAACTACAGCACATTGTAGTTTTGCGCAAGACTCCGCACCTGCAGATGTCATCAGGTAATTAGTGAAAGAAAATGTTGTTATAGAACGACACGCAGAGATTTAACAACATAAACACAGATCGTTGGTGAAGCTACTGATTTGATTCAGCAGGTAAAACCCTCTGACTCATGACTCACAGTTACTATTCACAGCTATGTGCCGTATGATGAGCTTCTTAAGAAAACTCACCTGCGTACGACCAGTCGATGTCTTCGGAGAACTTGCGTTGATTTCGGTAGCTGTATCCTTCAGCTTTAATGGGGGGAAAAAAAACAGAGAGAACACAAGTTAGAAGAACGCGTTCAAACTAGTTCCATCAGTTTGTTTATTTGAAGTTTGTCACTGACGATGAAGAAATGAACACAATGTTATGAGCAACTGCACAATTTGTTGCAAAACCAGCAAACATCTGGTTACAAAACTGAGGTGCTCTAAAACAATGACATCAAGGTTTCCCACTGGCAGTTCCTACTGGAATCATAACGTTATGCCAATATTTTACATGCAATTTTATGTGTGTAATTCACAACTGCATTGTCTCATAAGTATTTTAAAGGCCAAAACATAAACAACATTTAAACTAAAAGATTAACAACACATCCAAACCACCTCAACGTTGCTTCTCTAACTTCAGAGTCTGTATCCTTTGAACCGTCCGTCATAGCAGATCTCACAACCATCTTGTAAAATCTTCCCTTTGCTGTTGCCATACCTCAGCCCTGACATTTATTTCCTACTACTCCAACCTCCAAATGTACTGGTTTGGTTTTTTTTAGCCTCTCAGTCATTCATCTGAACACTGACTTGACATGTGTCACGATAATGAAGTGGTCGTCAGAGGACAACACCTCATTATCATTACAGAGAGTGGAAGACAGGGTCAGAGACAGGGTCAGAGGTCACATGAGAGGCTGGAAGTAGAAGTGTTTGGTAAGGAACTTGAGAGAAATGTGAGAAATGTACAAGCTGCCTGACAACAGCCACTGATTGGTTGCTGCAACAATGTGAATCCACCACATAAATATGGTACTGTACGTTTCACTACACTTGAAGTTACTGCACAGTCGATTTCAGATTCAGAGATTAGATTGTTGGGCAGAAAAAAAACTAATTTCGCAGAGATTAGATTGTTGGGCAGAAAAAACAATCTAATTCCCATGGCAACATTTAGTCATAATTTACTACGGCTTCTCTAAAACCACCCTTTACACAATGATTACCCCCCACATAGAAATGTCTAAATATTTGTAAAATACTTAATAATAATAAGGGGATTGACTTGTAGGCTGTGGGAACCGTACTAATGAAGTGGAACTGCATCGGCTCTCTGTCCTGGACAAAGACACCGTCTCCACTGACCCCTCCCTGCTTGTTCTCATTCTCACTTTCTGACCTTGGGGCAGTCAGGTGGGTCAGACCAGACAGGAAACAGGGGGCTTCTGTCTCTCGTGGTGGAAATGGAAAGTAGACGGTGTAAACAACAGCTGTGACATGAAACACCTGGCGCAGCAACAAGGCTCTGTTAGCAGCAGCTCATCTTCTCCCACTGCTCTGGACGTGATCTGCGTGAGTCCAATCACAATTTGATCCTTTGGTAGGGGTGTGGCCAAGAGGCTCAACAGTGTCCCCTAGAGTCAGCTAAAGGAAATTCCTTGCTATATTCATATTCATGGTCAGACAGAGCTGAAGTCCCGTGAATCCATGTCCTTCACCAAACAGTGTTATGACTTTCATGAAGGAGTTTAACACATTTTTGTACCAGTTCAACAATTTCTTTGCCAGAGCCGCCACACATTAAGTCAGTGTCGTGTTAGGCCTCTTCTTAGCTTAGTCAAAGATGATTCCCAACACTCCGTGTGAATCTGCATATTTTACTCCACAAAGCAGTTTTTGGCATTAATTCTGCATAACCTTGGGAAAAATATATTCACACGTTAGACATATTCATGGGTGAGGAACGAGCTGAAGGCAGCGGGAGTTAGGAGTGTTCACAGCAAAGGGAATATTTAAATAAGGTAATGGTGGTTGGACTGAGCTTGCATGAGAAAAGGAGATTTGCCTCCTTGGTCACTAAGGATTACTTGAATTTTTTTTTTCCTGAAGCAAACCAGAGAAGCTGATTCAAATACACTGAAGTACAGATATTATTTTGGTTTGGTTAAAATAATATATGCTACAGTAGAACACTGTAACTAAATTTAAGCCTCAGTTTAACTCTATGGTGGTCTATCCTTGATTAAAAATATAATTCTGGAGATTAAGTTGACACAAAAATGCTACTTGAAAAGGATCAGGTTGATGTTGTATAAACTAACACCAACTACATTTCATCTGCTCCCTGGGGTTTAGTTTTGCTCCGTACCTGTTTGATCCTCCCCAAGCTCCAGGTGAAAACACCCCTGGACCTAAAGCGCTGCAGGTCTCAGTTACGCACCGCGCTGGCATCGTGACAACAGTCGACACATGAGTTTCACTGCAAAGCCTTTGTCACAGCCACTACAAAGAAAACACCTGTTCATTCTGTGACAAAGTACCTGTTTGTAGACAGGAAGTGTTCATCACGGCCACAATGTAAAACTATTGAATGGAAAAAAACAACTTTAATCCTCAAATTTAAGCTGCAGTCACGCATATGATGATGGGAGCACACGTGAACAGACACGCAGTGGCGAGAACGGGCCACGACAAGAGCTCAGTTTGGTGTAGAGTTGAGTTTGGTTACATCACTTTCCCACTCTCTTGGTGGACCTGGGGGGGGGGCACCATACACAACTTTCACACACCAGTCAGTGCAGGTTGGTACAGACTTCAGTCAACAGGGAATCATGGGTAAAATCTGGCAACAATTCTTGTGGTGTGTCTTCAGCTCAATACATTAAAATGTGTGGAAATAAAATCCACAAACGTCTAGACCTAACCTCGAGGACGGCAGCATCTTCATGTAGAAAATTAATCACAGGACTCAGATCGCTAAGAGTTGAAAAGTAGAAATATTTGTAGTAATGAAACAATCCATGGGAAAGTGCTGTGCCAGATTCACACAACGGAAGAGAAAGGGCTGTTTAAAGACAAACGGGAAGAAGGAAAATGAAGATGGGAGGGCAACTGAGGCGAGAAGGAGGGATGTTATTCAGATCTGGGGGTTGTGGTGGCGATGGGTTGCGGAGGGGCAGAGGAGTGGGCTAATGTCCTAGTGGAAGAGAGTGAAAGACCAGAATAGATTGTATAGGAAAGTCTTGCTCAGCGTCTGTACGGGGAGAAAAAGACCACAACTGTGTCAGTGTGTTTATTCAGCGCACAGTGGCCGCGCTCAGCGCTCCAGCCTGTGGGAGTCCCGTTGCCTCCCGTCGGAAGCTGAATGAGAGGATTAGCCGAG